AAATTTATTGATAATAATTTTTTTATTTTATATAAATTTATTAAAAATATATTTATCCCCACAAACATTAAAAAATTTTAATAATTATAATGCATTATATTTAAAATGCAAAAACTATAATCAATAAAATATAAATGAATATTCTCAAAATAAGTATTATTACCTCTTTTTTAAATAAAATTATAATTATATATTTTTTATATTATTAGTAAATATTTTTAAAATCCATATTTTGTTACTAAAATATAAAATAAAATATTTTAAAGACATATAAATCAATAAATAATTAATCAAATTAAAATAAGTCAAAAATTTAATAATATCTATTATATAAAAAAAATTAAAATTAATATATATAATTTATTATATATAAAGAAGTTAAAAAAAATGGATATAAAAAATTTAAATTATCAATAATTAAATTTAAAAGACAATAATTAAAAAAATATGAAACAAGACAATTTCTTGAAAAAACTTTTTGAAGACAAGAACAATTTTTTTTTAAATCAACCAAATTATGGAAATTACGAAATTTTAGATAGAGATTCATTAGATATGTGTTCTTTACCTAATATCGCTTAATCTTAATTTCTAAACGATATGAATTACAGAAATATCAATAATTAATTTGCAGATAAAAGTTATGAACAAGAATTTCAAAGTAATTTTAATAATGAAAATAGCAAAAATTTGTTTTCTTAAGAAAAATTTTCTTAAATAAGATTACAAAATGGAAATAATCTTATTTTAAACTAATAATTAAATTAAAATATAGGAAATAATTTTCAAAATAATTATATTGTTAACAATAACATTAATGAAGAAAGCTTATCAGGAATTAGGCAAAGTAAAAATGCAATATCTTTTGAAACTTTTGAATATGAAAGTGTCACTAAAAGCAATAATGAGTAAAGTTTTAAAAACATTGAACTTTATAAAGATAAAAATATTTAATTTTAATAAGTTCAAAATTAGAATTAATATAATGAAAATAATTAATAAAATATTAATAACAATTCATAATAAGCAGAAAAATAAATTTGTGATTTTTATATAAAATAAACATATAAAATAAATAGTATAAATAATAAATAATATTAATAAAAATAAATAAATTAATAATAATTTTAAGATCAAATTATATTATAATAATAATAAATTTATAATTAATAGAAATAAAAATAAAAACATAAATAAAAATAAAAAAATGGCTGTATTTGTGCTAAAAGTAATTGCTAAAATAGATATTGTAAATGTTTAGCTTCAAATTTAAAATGTTCAGAAATGTGTAGATGTATTAATTGTAATAATAAAAAATAATAAGATATTTAAATTTAATAACTTAAGTAAGAAGATTTTAATGGAAAATGCGTTAATATAGTGTCACAAAACAATAATTTTGTTAATGTACAATTAACTAATGCTAAATATATATATAATAAATGATTTATGAAAAATTTTTCAAATACAAATATCCTTATTTTAAAAAATATTAATATTGATAATGGTTTAAATACTTTTATTATATTAATTTACTTTATATATATATATATATAATATTTAATATGTTAATTGTTTATATATCAATATTTTAAATAAAAAAATTGTCAATTTTTTATTTTTAAATAATGATTTAAAATATTACATTAATTTTTTTATAAAATTGATTTTATTTATAAATAAACATAAACTATTTATTGGTTTTATAAGTATTTTTATTTTTAAAAAATGTTATATATTTATGTTTAAAATGTCATTTTGTTTACTTCTAAAATTATTCTTTTTCCTCTGATTTTATAGAAGTTTATTAATTTTATAATTCAATTTCATTTATATTAATATGATTTTTTTGATTATTTACTTAACCTTAGTCCTTTTATTCATCATTAGATTTACTTTTATTTAATTTGTTATCAAGTAATTTTTTTTAATATAAATTATTTTAAATTTTCTTTGCTGGAATTTCAGATTAAGTTGCATTTTTTTCATTTATTTTAGTCGCCGTTGTAATTGAAAACATTGTTTGAATATAATATTTTTCTTCATTTTTTTTTAAAAAAAAATATTATTTATTAAAATTTATATATTTCAAAGTAAAATAAATACGTGTAACTGATTATTCCATTTATTCCGCTTATTCCATTTATTTAATTTTATCGATTTATTTAGATGTTATTTAATCTTGATTTGTATTTTATAAATATGTTTCTTATCTATATTACTTTTATTATATCTTATTTTCATTTGATGAATTAGTTTTACATATGTCATAATTCTTTCTATATTTATAAGAAATAAAAAAAAATATATTATTTTTAATAAATTACAGATATCTATTTAAATATGAATAATTTTTAGTTTAGTTTTTATTATTTATATCTTCAAAATATTCAATTTTTTCCTAATTTAAGTTATTTTTAACATGGATAGTAAATTTTTTTAATTCTTGCCATAATTATTTTATTCTTTGTGGTTTTACAGTAGGTAACTATTTTTTTTTATTAAAACAAAAATTGACTAATAATATAAATTACTTTTAATAGTCTTGATAATTTTGGCAATTTTAAATTAATTTTTTAATAAATATTGAAAAGTTGTTGCTAATATTTTATTAAATATCCATTCATTAAAACTAAAATCATTTTAAAAAGAAAGTATAAATTTATATATGCTATTAATATATAAGCAATCCAAATAAAATATTCAAAGTAATTTTTATAAGCAAACAATGCTAAAATAATAGAAATTAAAACTACTTAGCTTGATAATTTATCAATATTATTAAAAATTATATTTTAATAAGGTTAAAAATTTAAAGATAAAATATAATAGTTAAAAATTATTAATAAAACAAGAATTCCTTTAATTATTATGTAAGAGTCATAAATGTTAAGAAATATAATTACTAAGGTTTTTTCGAAAATTTTAATTAATTCCCAAAAATATGATTCTTTTTTATATTCATGATATAAAAATCCAAATTTATATTTAATTTTTAATTTATCCAACTATAATAATATTAAAAAAATAAATATTTTATATCATTAAATATTTACGTTAGTCCTATTTCTATAAAGGTTAGAAATAAAGTAAGCTGGTATACCAAATACCCAAATAAATAAAATAGGTAAAATAAACGTAAGCATCCATTTATTATGTTCATCTGTATAACATTCATAACTGACATCAGCTTTTATGTATTATAGTCCAACTATTGTTCTAAAAAAAAAAGATAGAGAAATAAATATTATATATATATATATATAAATATATATATATATATATATATATATTTTTTATATATTTATATATATTCATATATATATATATATATTTTTATATAATGCTTTATAATCAATTTTTACCTACAAGAAATAGTTGAAATATATTATGATATAATAGAAGGCTAAATAGAAATAAACATATAAATACATGTAATCCAAATAACTGTTTATTAAATTCTTATTTTTTTAATTTATAAGATTGCCAAATAAAATATAAGAAAACATCCTATGTAACCAAATGGTAATAAAAGTGACCAAATAAGTCTTGCGTAAATTATTTTAACACTTGTTGTAATAGATAATAAATAGCAATCAGTACTAAAAATCATCTATTAAATAGGGTTTCCAACATTATTTATTATACCTCCAATAACAGATGGTAATTATAAATCAAATGTGGCTAAAACATATATTAGTTATACATGATTTGTAAAAATTTTTATTAAAATTCCGATTTAGTTTCCTATTATTACAGAATTAGATATTAATCCTATTCTTTATAAATAATAAGCTAATATATAATTTTCAATCACAATCATAGTGCTTTTAACAGAAAATAATATAGCAATCAAAGTATATAAACTAATAAAAAACATTTTAATAGCATTACCTGAAATTTCACTACATTTTCCACATTTAAATTAAGCACTGTTAGACCAAGATTCACCCCATTAAATTCCATAAATATCACATGATTCACATAATGCACCTATATGTCCTAAAGCACAAGAATTATTTCCTGCTTCATACCCTCCTACACAATTTTCAATTAAATTCTTACATTCTTCAATAATGTCAGACTCAGGAATTCTTCTAAAATATCCAGAATTTAATTAGATTTCACTTCCACCTGGACATTATATAACTCCTACATTAGGACATTCTTTACAAAACTTTGAATTTTCAATTATACTATATTTTCCTGCTTGACAATAATGACATTCTCGACTAGATTCTAAATAGATTTCTCCCCTAATACATCCTCTCATTTTAATATTAATTTTTACGTCATAATCTTATTTATAAGTAACATACTTACTTTAACTATTATAAATAGGAATTTTTATTGCATCACAAGTAATTTTTACGGATAAACCTTTTTCATATTTAGGATAAAGATCAAAAATAATTTTATTAAAATAAAAGCCCTAGTATTTCTCGCTATATCTAGCATTAAAAGTGCCTTTTATATTTGCAGAAGCATCATTGTCTTCATCTAAAGAAAATATAGCATCTTCAGTAGTAGGAAAGTCTACTTCCTATCCATTTTCTTAGTCTAAAAATTTTACGATGAAGCTTCCATTATTTTCTTATTAGCCGGAAGCCCAATTAGTAATAATAAATTATCCTTTATCGTTTTTTTATGTTAATTCTATAATTTCCTTATTTTTTTGTAAGTATATTTTTAATGCTTATGGATTAGATTGTATATTATTGAATTATTATGAAGTTGAAATATTATTTACTATTTATGATGTCCCTTTTAAAAAAGCATCTCCCCCTAAAGATACCAATCCTCCCCCTTTTAATGCTGTATTTTAAGTTATTTACGTATCTTCAATTATTACTTAATATATCTATTATATGATGCTTATCATATATATATATACTCCTCCTCCTTATAAATAAGCTTCATTTTAAATAATTTTACAATCTTTAATTATTATTGAAGCTGTATAAATATACAATGCTCCTCCTATTTAAGCCATATTTTATTTAAAAATACTTTATTAAATTATTGATATTGCTTATATAGGTTAAGAAGTAAGTATTCTTTGACTCTTAAAAGTTTAAAATTTCTCTGTATTTCGAACTTATATACATCCATTATGGCTTACATTATTTTAAAAAGTGAGATAACTAATTTAGAAATCTCTGAAATTATCTATGAAGTTTATAATTCCTTAATTACATTCTTCACATATTATTTTTTCTAAAGTGCCTTTTGTGAATTTGATTAGATATTTCGATTTTTCAATTTAAATGAGAGACATTAAAAAATTTTCATGATAATTACTTTAAATTAGTAAATCAAAATAACATTTATTTGGTGCACATTTTTTAATATTAGTTATTTAGAAGTTTTCAATTTCAAGCCTAGAATTTGTAGAATATATTAAATGATTGTTAAAATATGGACTATCTTTTATAATTAAATTATTAATAATAACTTATGATTTTTCAAAATAAAATATTCCTTAAAAACTATTTACGTTTTCGATTTTGACATCTTTAATAATTATATTATTTACACTTATACACATTATAGCATAAAATTTTAAAATAAAATCATTGTATATATCATATTACATTATAGTTTTGTCTTCAAATGATTTATATAATTATTCTATAAATTTATAATCCGTACTAATTTAAATTTAACTTAAAGATAAAGTATCAGTTGTTTATGAAAATATAACTTAAATGAAAAAAAATAATGAATAATGAAAAAAAAAAATACCCTGAAAAATACTTCCTTAAATTGAAAAAACATTCTTAAATTTACAATTTTCAAAAGTAATTTTTGTTTTTTTAACTCCAATCTAAAAATAAGCAAAACCTCCAATCATTCCAGAATAAACATTTTCGCAAACCACTCCATTAAAATCAAAACGCACATCAGAATAAATACTATTTATATATATTGCTCCCCCAAAAGACTCTTAATTAGACACTAGGCTTGTCCTTACATTTCTAAAATTAACATCATTAAAACTTATACTTAAAAATTATGAATAAGAAACAATATAAAAGCTTCCTCCTTTTTAAGCAAGAATATCATAAAAATCTGTTTAATTGACTTTTACTTTTTCAGCATATACATTGAAAAATCCTCCTTTAATTTAGTTATATTCACCTTTCATATTATCAAGAACATTATTAATATTAAAAAATTTAGAATTTTTAATTATTAGTTATTTAACATTTAATTAACTAACATAATTAAATTTAATACTATTTATATTATTTACTTAATATTAATCAAAATAAATTATAGAATTATAATTTTAAACTTTCAAAAAAGAGGGAGACAATACACCTTGCTAAAAATTAGTATTTGAAATTAGGTTTTATGTTTTCCCTTTGAAAAATATGATTCTCATATCAGTTGATCCTAATATTTAAATAGGATAATATTACTTAGTAATTGAAGATAAATAAAATTCTAAATTATTAAACTCGCAATTATCAAATAATACATTAACACAATTTTCATATTAATCAGTATCTTAATATTTTTAAAAAAAAATTTCATCTTAACCTTATGGAATTTATAAATAATTCAAATATTAAAATAGAGGATCTTTTTAGGCATTTATATTTATCAAAATCTTTATTTATTTTTTATATTTAAAATATATAATAGTGAATAGTGTTTTTTCATTAAAAAAAAAAAAAAATTACTTTATCATATATTTTAAAATCTTAAAATTTGACGTTTTAAAAAACTATTTTAAAATCAACTTCTTTTATAATAAATAATTATTAATTAGATGTCATTTAATCTTAATTCCATAAATTATATAAATTACCCCTTTAAAAAATCGAGTTTGAAATTTTTAAAGAAGCTATATCTTAGGCAAAAAGTACTCCAAAACAAATAAAATTATACATTTATAAATTAAATATATCAATATTTTAACCTTTTTTTACTTTAATAAAACTATAAAATCCTTATTATTCTTCAACTTTTATATCATCTATTATTAAGTCATTTATAATTACTACACTTCTAAGTTTATTAAATGAATCTAATTTTATAGGATATGAAATGAATTTAAATTTTATATTTTTTATGTTAGCATTTTTTAGTTTAAGGGTGTTTTGCTATTTAAATTCAACGTTCTAGCAAAATTTTATTAATTAAAGTTTATTAAATATTTATTCATTTTTTATCATGCTTTCTTAACTCTATTTTTCATTATTTATAATTAAATTTGTAATATCCATATAACAGCTAGTAATAAATGCATTTTCAGTATTATATTATAACAAAGCTTAATATTTAATTTATAAATCATTAATGGTTAATTTTTAAACTTTTTCAAATTGAATAAAGATGCTTTGTTTCCATTAATTATAATATATGTGAAATTCGGAAAGAGAAACTAAACTTAAAGCAAACTTTTATGCATGTTTATCAGAAAAAAAAGAACATGAAATAAAGTTGTTTTTTATAATATTCACATTTTAAATCACTAAATTATTATTCTAATAAAATATTGGGAACAAAATTACATTTTGAAATGTATTATTAATAATTGTATATGTGTTTATTTTTAATATAAATTTATACAGCTAAGATGACTACCAACTTAAATCAAAATGAAGAAAATTCGATTATTTATCAAATATGAAATCTTAAACAACTAACTTTTAAATATCTAACTAACCAAAATATTTCAAATTTATTTAAGGATATATATATTAACCTGCATTAATATATTATTATAAATAATTTTATGTCATCCCTGATAAAAATTAAACATTATTTATTACTAATGATTATAGTATAGAATTATCATCATCTACTTTTATTCCAAATTATTTTTATTTACTATTTTATACTAATGAAGTCAAAGGATAGAATGTCATATTAGATAATGTAATTTAATTAAATCCATTAAAATTAATGTTTTAATTTTAAAATATATGTAATTTTAATGTTCCTATATTACCATTATTAACATCAATGGATTTAAATGTAATATCAATAGTTTCGAAATTCATTATATATTTAGTAATTTCAGTTGATATATTAAAATTTTCTTTGATTGTACATGTGGCTGCATTTTGTATTTTTTGTCCATTTTAAAGTTTAATTGATTTTATATCAGGGATTATAAGAATTTCAAATTTTATGTTTGTAAAATTTTCTTCATTTAATACTTAAAACAATTACCTTTTTTTATATTTTATTTTTATAAATTAAAAAATAAATATTTTACATATTATTTTTAATATTATCAAAATCATTAAAATCAAAATGTGTGTTTCCATCGTAATATTCATTTAAAAAGAAAACAGGAACATCATTTTTTTATTATTTTAATTTATTTTCCGGATTATTTTCAGCAAAAACATTATAATATTTAACTTGATCTTTATCAAAAGAGCTTTCTTTTACACCAATATCTATTCTACAATCTATTATTCTTTAAATAGTATATGTTCTTTTACAAAAAGGTTGATCTTTAGTACAAATAGTACATTAATTAATTAAAGGATTATAAAAAGGAATATATTATACTTCTTTATTAGCTTCAGAAAGACATTTATAACCTAATCCTTCTTTTGCTTATTCTCTATCACATAATTCATCAGCAGTTAAGCATTTAACGCATTTTTAAATATATCTTTTAAAAATAGAATCCTCATAAATAAAATTAGGATTTAATTTATTAATTTATACTTCACTTTATTCAATACAAAAAGAACAATATCTTGGACAAGTTAAACACTAAGTTTAATCATCGGATAAACCTTAATTATACTTTATAATAACATGGTCTGCTTTATTATTAGATAAAGAAAATTATTAAATTTATTTTAGATAAGGACAAGATTTACAAACTGTCTCATTATTATCATTTTCAACACATTATTAACATCTTTTTTTATATTAATTCAATTTAATTTTTAAAAGAAAAATTACTACTAAAAGCACGCGTCTTTATTTCTACATACCTTGTAAATTTTATTATTTAAACATACTTCACATATAGGAACTTTTCCCAAATTAAACTCCAATAACATATTTGTAACTTTATCTTTATTTATTTATTTTTAGTATTAAATAAAAAATGTAAAAAACCTTTGGAAATTATTGGATTTTCATACCAAATATAATGTGTAAAATTATATCCATTTAGAGATAAAAATGAGCAATGTTTACATTAACCTACTTTTGTCTATTAAGGATTCCCTTTTTCACCATTCGAACATAAAACACAAACATGTTCTAAAGATGCAGTATATCCTATTTAATTTTAAAAAATAAATATTAATAAATAATTTTTTCTTCTTTTTTTACCTAATTTACATCTTGTACATATTGGAAATATATTAAAACCTTTTTTAATATAATAAAAACTTGTGCATAATGTATTAAAATCTTTGTTTGGAAGATCACATTTTCTTATTTTTATTAAAATTTTTATTTTTTTAAAAAAATAAATAAAAACCTTTGTTATTATTATAATTATATATTAAAGCCATGTTTGTCACATTCAAAACAAAAATAATTTAAAGAACCAATAGTATTAGTTTATAAAATATTCCATATTTTACAATTAGGATCTCTATCAATCAGATTTTAAGAAATGGCAATACAATTTCCACCAATATTAGGAACTCTTAATCCTTTATTATTAGGACCTATAACTGATTGATCAGGATAACATTCAAAACATTTTACAATCAAATTGTTATTAATCTCTGTTTAAAATTTAAATCCTTATTGCATAGTATAATACATGTCTTTTCCATATTATGACCCTTAATAACATAATAAACAATTAGGGATATCACACAATTAACATTTCCCAAAATAATTTAAGAAATAAGAAGTATCACAAAGTTTGCAATAGATTCTATATTCGTCAATATCTTTACTAATAATTTAAGGCTCAAGGGTATGATTTATAGACTCTTATTCTAAGTTCTAAAGCATATAATAACAAGCTTTACAAGGTTTATTTTCTTAACTTCCATCATTACAAGAAACACATTTAGTTAAATCTAAAGAAGGAATCATAAAAACAGGAAAAATATTACATTATAGACACCTAAGAAGTATTGAATCTTAATTTTCAATATTCCTCCACATATTAGGTAAAATATTCAGATTATATTATTGATTTCCATAATAACATTTATTACAATGAGGAATCAATAATTTGCATTTTTTACATTCTCTTGCATAATCATTTTTTGCATCTTAAAATAAAGCAAATCCATCTGAACATAAAGAGCATATCATTTAGTCATTTTGAATATATTTGCAAATTTCACAATTATTAGGACATTTTTCACAAGTATAAAATTCAGTTTTAACGCTTTGCTTTAAGGCAAACCCTGTCTAACAACTTCCATATTTTTAAAATTCATAAAATTCTTTTTCATTTTAATTTTATCCTAAAAATAATTTTTAACAACCGAATGGAATAATACGGTTATTTTCAATATATTCACAAAATTATTAAAATCCAGTTAATTTTTTATAAATAAAATTTATTTCTTTGTTATTTGTGCTAAAAATATATATTAATACTTAATTTGGAGTTTAAATGTAGTTTTATTAGATTGTAGAGTCATTTGAAATATTTTCAATTTTTATATAATCATATAAACATAACTATGTATGTTTCCAATTCTATTAATCAAAAACACAATTTGCACAAGGTATTATTTAATTCATTTTTTTCATATCAAAATCAGGACTTTTTTAAATATAATTTTTTATAATATATTATGCTAAAGTAACATATTACCATATTAAACAGATAGTTTTCTTACTAATTTTAGTTGTAAAAAGGAAATAACCATATGCACAATTTATACATAAATCAGCACTTATACAATCTATACAATTTCGGCTACATCCTTAAAAATTTAATGAAATTATATCATGTCTATATTAAAAATGTATATTATTATTAATATTTCAAATAATAAATACCCTTTTAAATCTAAATCCTAATAGTATGGTACATTAATACTAATAACAAAAGATACTAATGTTATTAAAATAATCAGTTATAATTTTAAAATTTACTTTCTTAATTTATAAACCATAAAGAAATATTATAATTATATATTTGAATTTTTTAATTTTATGAATAGAGATAAATCTTATAATTTAAAAATATTATTTATTTAAAGCTATTAAATATTAAGAACAAATATATTATTTTTAATAAAATTTCATTTATTTCTAAAATATTATTACAAATATTTTTTTAAAGACAATTTGTAAATAAATAAATTATATAAAAAAATATCTATAATAACAGTCATGCATCCTTTTGACTCCCGAAATATCAAAACAATATTTTTAAAGTTTAAATAAAATAATTAAATATAATAACTGTTTATTAAAAATGTATATTTTTATTTTCTTTTTTTTATATTGACATATTAACAAAGGTAATTGTAATTATTTATTAATTAATCATAAATTTTAGTTATATTTTTTCGTTTAGCTGTTACATATTATCATAAAAAAAATAAAATTAAATTTAATTATATTTTTCTATAATAAAATAATTTTAATTTAAATTAATTATTAATTATTTGAGAAAAAAAAATATACATATTATAAAATAAAAATTGCTTATAATCGTCATTAAAATTTAAACTGTAATTATTTTAATAAAAATAAAAATAAAATAATAACCAAATTCATAAAAAACAAGTAAACACTTAAACTGATTGAATAAAAAAATAAATATTGTATTTGAACAATTACTTTATTTTTTTTTAAGAAAAATAAATAATACAATTTAATAAGAAAATATAATATAAAATTTATTTAATTTGAAAAAAAAAAAACATAAACATTAACAAATAAATATCCACTTGCCTATTATGAATTTACAAAAGTATTTTTATATAATATTGTGTAAAAATTATTTGCTAAAAGAATCGAAGCATCTCTCAAATTTTAAATTTAACTTTTTTTTTGAATTTTAACAAAAATAAAAAAAATTAATAATTTTTCTATTTATTTAACTAAAACTAAATTTATATAATGCTATGAAAATATTTCTTTGACATAATTTGTTTTTATTATAGTTAATAAATTAAAATCTTAATAATAATAATAATTCAAAAATTATATCATTAATAAAAAGTTTTAATTTTAAATAATTTAATTTATATAATCTAAAATATTGATAAATAAATAAATATATAAAATTAAAAAAAATTAAGTATATATATTAATATAAAAAAATAATTTAATGAATAACATATAAAAAATTAAATGTTATGATATTAAAAATTTAATCATCATTTTATACTTTTTTTCGACAAATTTTCATTTGAATAAGGTTAAATAAATAATCAATTTATATTTTTGAATATAATCAATAAAATTTCATTTAAATAATGATTATAAATATACAATCAACTTACATATATTATCGAATATACTGAATCCGATATCTTTAAAATATATTTCAAAAGTCAATTGTATTATCATTTTAATTTATAATCTTTAAAAATTTTTTTTATATATTTTAATTAGTATATAAAAATAAATTGTATGCAATTTATTAATTATAAAGAAATTCAAAGTATAAAAATATTATATATTATTCTGTTTTTTTTATTTTAAAATAATATACAACAAAATTTTAAAAACGGAATTAAAATGATTTTAGAAGAAAACACCCAACTAATATAAGAACAAAAAGATTTTAAATCATTCGATGATATTTTAAAAGAAAAAATTGGATTTGGTAAATTTTAAATACAGGTAGTTTTTTAATTTTATATGATAAATAAAAATAAAATAAAAATCAGACAATGTTTATAATAACATTTATAGATTTTATAGATGGAGCAGAATTGAATTTTTTATCGATTTCACTTTAAATTTTGAAAATAGAATGGAATTTGGAGTCTCGTTAAGTAGAAATATTAAGCAGTTCATATTATATAGGTTTAGTTATAGGATGCATTTTTTCAGGATATTTTTGCGATTTTTTCGGTCGAAAATGCTCTATGTAAATAGGCAATTTATTATAATTATTCACTATTATATGGACAGTATTCGTTCAGGATTTTTATTCTTTCGCTTGTATTAGAATATTATTGGGATTTTCTATAGGATTAACATTAATAATAAGCGGGATACTTTCTTCGGAAATATCTTCAAAGCACTTAAGAGGTCGAAAAATAGCTATATTAGGAGGATGTATAGGGTTAGGGAAAATATATTTATTATTCATAAGTAGTTTTTTCTTAGATGATTTATCAAAAGGAAATTGGAGGGCAATAGTAATTTGCTAAGCAGTTTTACTTTTGATTTTAAACATTTTAAACTTTTTAATATTAGAAGAAAGCGCAAGACTTCTAGTGAGTCAAAATAAACTGGAAGAAGCTGTAAAAATATTAAATAAAATGGGAAAAATGAACAAAAAAGAAGAATATATCCCAATAAACGAACAAGAAAGAAATTAATTACAAAATTGGAGAGATTACAAATTCAAATAAAAAATTAATTTTAAATAATAATTCAAGGAAATATTTTTACAAGAAAAATATAAAAATGTTACTTGGAGACTACTTTTTGGATTTACTACATAAAATTTTATTTATTCAAGTTTAATGATTATTTTGCCTTTTGTTTTACACTAAGGTGGTTTTGGAGTTTTCGATTTACTTATAATTGATATATCAGAAATTCCAGCGAGTATTTTCTGTTTTTTTATTATTGATTTGAAAAGTATAGGAAGGGTTAAAATTATTAATTCTATGCTTGTTCTTTTAATTATTTTATCAGTTTCAGTTTACTTTTTTTGGATGAATTTTATTATTGTAGGGTCTTTTTTTATTAATTTTTGCATGAAGACTTATAATATATGCCTTTGTACTATTCTTTATGAATCTTATGGAACTCAACATAGAGCATTAGGAAGTTCAATTAATGTTGCTTTTGGAAGATTTGCAGGAGTCTTTGGACCTTTTATTATTTATAAAATTTTTTTGTATGCATAGTAACTTACTTATATTACTTTTAGTTTAGTTTTTTTTATAACTTTTCTTATTTTTTTATATTTCCCTATCGAAAAGTCGAATGTAAATTTAGATTCGAGTGAAAGTTCTGTGTTATGAAAAAAAAAATGGTAATATATATTTTTTAAATGAAGTAATAAAATACATAACTATTTTATAATTGGAAAAAAATAAAAATAAGAAAAAAATATAACCGAATTAATATTAAAACAATTAGATTACAAAATAAATATTTTAATGAAAAAAAATTGTTAAATATATATATTGTATGGTAACAATTTTTTAAAAATATATTTTAATAAAAAATTAAATTAAAAATGTTAAATATAAAAAAATAAATTTATATATTATTATAAAAATAATTTTATATAAATTTAAAATATAATATTGTTTTATATTACCTTATAACATATATATAAATTTTTAAAAATTAAAAGATTTTTTTTTCATTATTTATCAAATGCTGTTGGAGACAAATAATATTAACTAACTATATATATTGTCATAAAGTTTTTTTCTTATACATTTTTTTTATATTTCTTATACTTTAAATATATATTAATTATTGTCTTATTATCATCTAAATATTCTATAAAGCCTAATCTTAAAATATAATATTATTTTATATAAGATAATAAAACAATAGATTGTTTAAATAAATAAAATTAATAAAGTTTTAGTTAAAAATATTAACATATTTAAATATTAATTTTATAAAAGAAATAAAATAATAAATTATTAAAGTACTTATAAATAATTCAATATAAAAAAAAAAATGTTTTTTTCAAGTAAAATAAAAATTTGGATAATTAAAAATTTGAAACAGTATTATATCTTTCTTTTAAAATTAAATATTTTAATAAATTTTAAATAATATTAAGACATTTATATAATAAAGTAATTCCAATAATATTATCAAAATAATAATATAAAAAAAATCTATTTTTTAAAGATTTTAAAAAAGTATATTAAATTAAAATTAAAAAGATAAAAATGTTAATAAATAAAAATTTAAAAAACAAAAGATAATCAAATAATAATCACTAAACATTTTTTTAATCAAACAATTTTTTTTTTAAAAATATTATTATTTGATTTTTTTTTTAAAAAAAATATAATTTAATTATTTTATATTTATAAGTTGAGATACAAATGTATTTTTGTAAAAAAGTATATGAATTTTATTATTTTTGAATAATTTATTAAAATTTAGTAAAAAAAAATGTAGATAATTGCAATTTTATAAATATTTTATTACAAAAAAAAAAATTATATTATATATATATATTTTAAGTTATAATATTTATATAAAAATAAATAAATAAAATAATAAAATGAGTCATAGTAAATATTTATGAATAATTAATATATATATAATAATTCATTAATATTAGTTTTTTATTTTGGAAATTAATTATATAAGCCTAATGGTTTAAATTATTATTAAAAAGATGATTTAATGTAATAAAAAAATAACTATTTTTTAGATAAATAGTAAAAAAAAAATAAGAATTACTAGAATATCCTTTAAAAATGAAAAAATTGAAAATATAAATTAGTTACTTGAAGAAGAAATATAATAAAAATCATAATAAAAATATGAGTCGAAATTCACTAAAATATATGCAGGGTAATCTAATATTTTTGCAATTGATGGTATATAAAATACATATATATTTAATAAAAATTAAAAAATAAAAAGAAAATTAAAATTTATGGTCATTTGGAAGTGGTTTTTAAGGTTAATTAGCAATAGGTAAAATTAATTTAAAAATAAAAAGCTTTTTTTTTTATAAAATTTAAGGTTAATAATTATACAAAGTCAATAAATCAATAAACACTAATTAATTTTCCAATCCAATAATAGATCCAATAAAATAAATTTCAATAAATTCTAAACACGTAATAGCATTAACTGGTATTTAACATTTTATAAATAAAAATCAAAATAAATAAATATATAGAAAATAGTTAATTATACGTATGGGGTGAAAGTACTTACGGAAAGTTATTATAAAATGATAGTAATCCCATATTTAAACCTAAATTAATAGATGAAAATATTTTTTAGATTTAAGATGATTGCTTAACAAATACAAATTTAGTAATTTCACAATTTTAACCGAAAAATAGCACAGAATAAAAAGCTTAAAAAAATAACACTTCTTTTCAAAACAAAACTGATATATTTAGTTCTTTTATAAATAGTAAAAAAACTAGTCTTCCTTTAATAAATACAAAAAGAAATATCGAATAAAATTACAATTCAAGTTTTTTAAATTTTAACTCTCCATTATCTTCCCCTTAAAAAAAGAATAATAAAAGAATATTAATCATGAAATAAGAAAAATAAACTAAAGTTTAATTTAAAAAAACACAAAAAAATACAAAACAATATCTAAATTGCCACAGGATAAAATCAGTCTTATTTTTACATAAATGATGTTTTATATGCTTGTGGAAAAAACGAAAACGGATTGTTAGGTCAAGGAAATATTCGATAAGAATTTTTTTCAAAGCCAATTAAAATATAATAATTAGAAGTAATTAAATAAATATATTTTCAAACTTATTTTTACTTTAGGGTGTTATTATTGCTGGTATTGCCTGTAATTAGTATCATTGTTTAGTTTGGGATATTTAAGGTAGAATTTTTTCTTGGGGTAATGGATTAAATGGATAATTAGGACATCCAATAGATAATGGATATAGTTTTAATAAAATAGAATATATTCCCAAATAAATTGCCTTTTTAAAGGATAAAAAAATAATACAGGCTAGTTGTGGAATATATTATTCTACTGCAATAACAAATGAAGTAAAAAAAGAAAACATTCTTATCAACAAATATTTTTTTTTATAATAATAAAAAAAAGGGATTACTTTATGGATGGGGAAAAGGAGTATATTGTAAAGAAGTTGATAATTCGAAACCAATTTCTTTAATGGATTGTATTTATTTTTTAATTTTAAATAATTTAATAATAAAAAAGCTATATATCCAAAATAATTATAACCTTTAGGAGATAATATTGCTCATGTGAAATTTATAAAAGTAAAAAATAAAAATATGTTTGTGGTAATTGCATTTATTTTATATTAATTACTAGGTTTAATGTGGAACTACACATAATGCAGCTATTGATTAATTTGGAAGATTATACACATGGGGAGATTGCTCAGAAATGTGTTTAGGACATTAAAATTAATAAGATGAGTTTTAACCCAGATTAGTAAGTAATTTAATTAATAAAATTACAATTGATGTTGCTTGTGGAGATAAATTTACGGTTATTATTCAAGAAGATAATATTAAATAAAATTAATAAAACAATATTATTAATTAATTTAAAAAGAAAAATATTTAAATTGTTCGTTCGAAAATAAAAAACTTAGGCTCAAATAATATTAAAGTATTTTTTTATTAAAAAAAAAAATCAAATAAAAAAAAATTAAGGGAGGAAATATAGAAATTAATGATATTGATGAATATACAGGAATTCATTAAGAATAAAGCGACGATATAAAAGGATTATCTTAAAGTTAAATTAATGACGAATAATAAACTAAAAGAAATTAAGAAATTAATAAAAAGCATTAAGATTAAGATTCATTTTTTTTGTAATAAAAAATAGAAAATAAAAGCTAATAATCTCAAGCAAACTTTAAAATAAAAAAATTAAATACAGATATATAAAATACTGAAGATCCTAAAGTTGAATAAATAAGAAAAATATAATAATTATGTAAATTAAAAACTTAAGAATTTTCTAATTATCCTTTAAACTCAAAAAATGTATTAGACTCATCAACTTTAAGAGATATTATAAAAAAATACAATAAAAATATTAATGATAATTAAATAATAACAACTAATAATGGCGAATAAGAATAAACTGAATTTATTTTTGATGAAACTTCTTAATAAATAATGTAAAAAGAATTATTAGATCCTTTGTATTTTCCTTTATATGATTATAATGAAAATAATAAAGAAATTATGGAAAGTATAAAATATCAATAAATATAAATATTAAATATACAAAAAAAAAGTTTAAGAAAATTAAATACAAAAAAATGATAATAATAATGTATTCATATTACCTCCAAATTCCTATATGAAAAAATATTTAGGCATTAAATATAAATATAAATATATGAGAAAATATATATATATATATATATATTAAAAGGAGAACTCTTAGAATCATAAAATGACGTTTTAAAATATGAATATACAGAAATGGTAAGGAGAGGAATGGAAGATTCTCATTTATTATATTTATTATCTAATCCAATCTAAAATAATGAGAAATATTAATTAAAAAAGAAGAACCTTTTAAGCATAAATAAATCCATTACACGAATAAATTAAGATACAAAAAATATTTTTGATATTAAAAACTTCGAAAATTTAAATGAAAATATTGATATCTAAAAAGTTCTTTCTAAATAACTATTGTAAAACTGTTAAAATATTTAAAAAAATGCCTAGAAAGTAGTCGGATGTTATAAAAAAAGTCTATAATAATCATTAGATACGAAATTTTTGAAATAAAATTCAAGATATTTTCCTTTTTTTAAGTTATGAATTCTACAAATGATTATAATTAATTTTTAGCTTAAAAATTAAACGATTAAATAAAACTTACAAAATAAAGAATTGAAAATGCTAAATAGAAAAAGGACTAATTATTTATAGAAAAGTTAATATATATGTATATATATAATATTTATATTGGTTTTTTAAATAAAAAGGAGAGATATTTTTATTAAAAAATAAAAAGAAAAATCTATAGAATACTAAAAAAGTATATAAGAGATTAAACAAAAGAAATTTAGAGAAGATGAAAAGAAAAAGAAAATTTTAACTTTTTTATTTATTGAATAATCATTAAATATTTTTAAATAAATTACATAATAATTTTAATAACTATAAAGGAATAATTTCAGTTATAATTTAAAAGCAAAGATAATACAATAAGCTTATAGGAAATATAATTCGATAAAAAAAATTAAACAATTTAATCCATTTGTAGTGCATCTATTAAGAGAATATGCTTATAAATTCTAAAGAAAAAAGGCAGTAAGAAGAATAATTTTATATTGTTTAAAATAAAAATTAAGATAAAAGGTTAAAGCTTGTTTAATAAAAATGAGGTTAACAATAATAAAGTAATATATTATTTTAATATTAATAAATAAAATAAATATATATAATTATATTTATATATTTTTTTTATTACTTAAACAATATATATATATAATATTAGTTTATAAAAATTTATATCTTATTTTCTTTGTGTTTAAATTGTATAACTTACTTAATTATCAACATAATGGGATAATTTTTTAATTTTATCAGCTAAATAAGTAGATTAATAATTTCTTAAATTTTTAAAAAATATGATAATGCTTTATAAACATAGGATAATGTTTATATATAATCAATATTTCTATATATAATTATTTTTATTTTAAAGTAAAGTAATTTAGAATAATTTTAAGAAATCAATATAAGATCATAAAAGTAAATATTTGATTGTTTTGGTAATATTAAGAATATATTACAAAAATTTGAAAATTTTAATTTACTTCCTTCTTTTATTCCAAATGAATACAAAAGTGATTTTAAAGTACTCAACTTAATTTATAAAAATAAAATAATTTTTTTAAAAAATAGTAAAATTTATTAGTTTAAAAACAAAATTAAAAAATATAATAATAAACTGAATAAACCAATAATAAATAACATAAGTTAGAAAAAATAAAGAGTACATACTATTTTAATTATGAACCCTAACCATTTGGAACATTATTGCCATTTTCTTTACATAGTAATCATTATTTTTTATTTAATTTTATTGTTTTGTAAATTAATTAAAAAAAGAAACTTTTATTTAATTACATACTAATTATGAAATAATTTATGATAATCAATTGAATACAGAATAAATGCAAAATAAAATTGAATAAGTAGAATTGTAGGCAAAATATGAAATATTAAGTTTATATTTTTTGTTAAAAAAAAAAAAAATTATTTTAAAGGAAGCTATTTAAGTACATTAAGAAAAAAATATTGTGAAAAATGTAAAGATTATTATAAATAATTAGCCTAATTTTGTAAAACAAATAAATATGAAATAAATTTAGAAAGAACAAAGTATTTTTTATTTTATTTTATTTAATAAAAATTATATTAAAAGACTTCTTTTAAGAACAAGCCCTTAAAATCTAAAAAAAATAGAAAAAAAAGAAGAATACGATTATAAATATAAAATAAATAATTTAAAAGAATAACATACAGTAGTAAGAGATCATTTACCTTTTGGAACAATAATTTTTTAAATAGCAGCATAAATGGAAAAAGCGCCCTAGAAGCCGGAATTAAAAATAAATATGAATTATGATTAATTTAAAAAATTATTTGATTAATACCATAAAACATTTAAATAGAAATATTCAAAATTAGTTACTGAATAAAGAATTAGCAATACAAATAGCATTAAAAACAAAAAAAATAATATAAATAATACATATATTAAATGAAAAATATAAAATTATATTTTTTTCTTAATTATTTATTTAAGTTATTTTTTTTTTTTAATTTTATAAATTTTTCTAAATTTTATTTTATAATTAATATAACAATTTTATTAATTTATTTATTTTATATTTTCATTTTTTTAACGGCAAATTTCTTTATAAAATTAAAATTTGAAAATTATATTTTTAAAAAATATTAATTTCTTCATAAAAAAATAAAATTATAAATAAATAAAATATAAATATTTAAAAATAATTATAAAAACATTAAAATTAAAATTTAAAATAAATGGAATTTCAAGTAAAGGCAATTTAGTTTATATACTATGATAAATCTGAAAAAAGTATTATTAAATAAATAACAAAATATTTTAAAATAAATAATTAATAAAGATTATAAAATAAATCCAGATTCAATTAACTTTATAAAATAACTACAAAAGCCGATTTCTATAATAACAGTAGCCGGTTTATATAGAACTGGAAAATCATATTTATTAAATACAATTATATAAAATAAAAATGCTGGCTTTTAAGTTGGCTCTACAATAAATTCTTGTACAAAAGTAAATTAAAAAAAAAATACATATTTCATATCAAATAAAAATTATTAAGGGAATATGGATTTACGGATGTCCAATAAAAGAAACAAATTTAAACGGCGAAAATATAAATATATTAGTTTTGGATTGCGAAGGTATGGGGTCTACTAATGAAAGCTAAGATTATGAAAATAAGCTTTTTTGTTTATGTATATTATTATCTTCGAGTTTAATTTACAATTCTATGAATGCAATTGATGTAATATTTTTTTTTGAAATAAAATATATTAATTATTTTATTTATTTTATTTTAAAAAAGGAAAATGCAATAAACAAATTATTTTTTATATCTAATATAACAAAAAATATATAATTAAAATAAGATAATATAGACTAAAATATTAACGAAGGTTTATTTTATTAAAAAAATATATATTTATAAAAAAAAAAGATGATTATTAAAAATACTTTCCAAATTTTTATTGGGTTTTAAGAGATTTTACATTATAATTAGTAGATAAATAAGGAAATTAAATTACATCAAATTAATATTTTGAATAATCCTTATAAGGTAAACTAAAATAAATTATCAAAATTTGTTATATTTATTAAAAAACAAAAACAAAAAATAGAATAAAAAGGAATTTCCGATGAAGTCTAATAAAAAAACCGAATAAAAAAATTCTTAAAATAATTTTTCACACAAAGAGAATGTGTAACATTAGTAAGACCTTTAGAAAGTGAATAAGACTTACAAAAACTCGACTAAATCGAATTTTAGAAACTAAGACCTGAATTTCAAGAACAAATAGAATAATTTAGGAAACGAATAATCAAAAAAAGTAAACCAAAAATGATTAATAATAAATATTTAAATGGTGAAATGTTCCTTAGTTTAGCTGAATCTTATTTACTAGCTATTAATACTGGAAAAATGCTTAATATAGGAAAATCTTGGGAATATGTCTGTAAACTAGAAACTTCTAAAGCTGTATAAAAATCTTTCGAAAAATATGAATAAATTCTAAAATAAAAACTTTATCCTATAATACCTACTACATGTATAGAAATAAAAGTAAAAAAAAAAAAAAATTTGTATAAAAATGCATATTTTATTTACATATATAGAAATAACATTAAGATGCTAAAAAAGAAGCTTTAAATTTATTTAATAATTTAAGTTTAGGAGAAGAAAAAAATGGATTTTTGGAAATGCTAAAAGATAAAATAAAAGAAAGAATTAAAATTATCATAAATTAAAACGAAAAGGATTCTTTAATAAATTGTTCTGTTTTTATGTAAAAAGAATTCTAGATTATTGAAGATAAGTAAAAAAATAATTTGTATTTGTGTTTTTTGGAATTTGAAAAGGATGTGTAACTTTTTCATTAGTTTTTGATTTAATATGGACCTAATACTGTTAATAGAGAATTTAACTTTCAAAGTTTTATTTCGAAAATTATTAAAAATGGAGCTTAGATGTTTATAAATTAAAGCGAATAAAAATTAAATTTATAATAGGTAATTTTTATATAAAAATATTATTTTTTATATTTATTTATTTTAGGAGTAAAATTAATTATTGAATAATTAAAAAAAAAAATTAGAAGATAAAATAGAATAATTCAAAATTCAAATTTAAGAATAAAATGAAATAATTATAGAAAATTAATAATAATTATAAAATTTAAATAATGATTAAAAAGAAATTATAATATAAAATTAAAATATAATAAATGATTAGTAATAAAAAATAAATGAATATTAAAAAAATTAAATAGAATTATCCAATTAAATTATTTCGTAAGAAAATATGATTAATTAACTATAAAATAAACTAATAGAAAATGAAAAAATTATATATTAAAAACAAGAAGAAGCGAAACTTAGTAAAACAAAGCATTAATAAAGTCTAGAAGAAAACTAAAAACTTTTAGAAAATTAAATATAATTAAAAAATTAAGAATTATAGAATATTCATAAAGAAAATACTTGTTATGTAAATGAATTGAATTCTAAAAATAATTAAATAGAATAATTAAATTAAGAAATAAGCAAATTATAAAAATAAATATAAGATTAAAGAAAAGTAGAAGAATAATTAATAAAAACATAAAAAGAAACAAATAAAAGTATACTATAGAAAATTTAATTATTAAAACTTGAAAATTCTTAATAAGAATTATAAGTATATTGTGAAAAAAATGAATTAAATTTCATTTAAATTTATGAAAGTATAATCGAGAATATTTCTTTATAAAATTAAGAAATAATAAATTAATTAAAAGAATAAATTGAAAACGAAAAAATAATTTAAACCTAACTTAAGTATTAAATAGATTAAAATTAATTAGAATTTTAAGTAAAATAGAATTAATAAGCAAAAGAAAATATACAAAAAAATTAAAAACTTGAACTTTAAATTTAAAAAAATTAAGAAGAATTCGAAAATTTTGTTTAGAATTTATAAACACAAAAAAATTAAGAAAAAGAAGAAATAATAGAAAATTTAACCAAAGAAAAAAATTAAATTGAATAAAATTTTATTTAATATAAAAATGAAAGTAAAAAATAAATTAATTAATATGAAAATTAAATCCAATAATCTATTTAAAAATATGAACTTTAAATTTAATTTGAGTATAAATAAACGATATCTGAATAAAATAATTAAATATAAGATTTAAAATGTAAACTAGAAAATTATTTAAATCAAATAGAAAAATTGAAAAAGGAAATAGAATAAATCAACTAAGAAAAATAAGAAATTTAAGAAACTTATTTAAATGAAAAATAACTTTTGGAAAGTAAAGTTATGCATTTATAGTAATACAAAGAAAACATTAAATAAGAGATTTCTGAAAATTAAAAAAACTTCGAAAAAACATTAAATTAAATATAAAAATGTAGATAAAACGAGAAAAATTTAAATGAAAAATAAATAGAAGATTTAAAAAAATAACTCATAAATAATTTCGATAATTAAATCTAAGAAAATAAAGAAAATTACGAATAAAAGAATATTCTATAGACTTTAAAAATACAAGAATTAGAAAATAAATTAAAATAACATTACGATTAAAATATTTATGAATAAAAATAATAAAACAATTCTTTAATTAAAAAAATGAACGAACTTTAATAAAATAATAAAAATTTATAAAATCTAATTTAATAATAATAATTAGAAAAATAAGAAATTATTTAAAATTTTTAAATTTAAATTTAAAATTTATAAAAAGAAAATAACTTTCTTGAAAATAAAGTAATTTTTTTTTTGATCTTTTTAATTAAATAAATAAAAAAAAAAAGTATAAAGAATCTGAAAATAAAAAAAATTAATTCATAATTGAAATCGAAAGATAAAAATAAATATGGAATCATGAAAAAAACATGATTTTAACATAAAATATAGAATTATAATAAAATATAACTATATAAGAAAAAAAAAATGAATATATATAAAAAGAAAATGAACGTATTAAATCTGATAATAAGACATAGAGAACGTAAAAAAAAAAAAAAATTAAATATAAAAATAAATATATATATAATAAATAAAGAATATAAAGAAATTTAAGTGGAATTAATTTAAGTAGAATAACTGATAGCAAAAGCCCTCATAAAAGTCCCAATAGAAAAAATCAAAATAATATTACTAATGTAGATTAAAGTTAAGTAGATACTACTTTTGATGGAAGCAATAGTAGCTTTTCTAGAGGAATATTACAAAGCATTCCCCTTAATGTTCTTAATAGTTAAAATAATAAAGGTTCTAATTGTTCATAATTTAAAAGCTTTATGTAAGTTTTATAAGAAAAAGGAGAAGAAAATATATCTCCAGATTTATTATTATCAAATAAATGATGATATATTAGACAAAAAAAAATATTTTAATAAAACTATGTTATGTTAGTTTATAGGATAAAATATCAAATTTTCATATTAATTATATTATTAAATAAAAAAATAAATATATATAAAAATATATATATTGATAAATATATATATATATATATATATATTTATATATTTTCAATATAAAATAAATCAATAAAAAATGCTTTTTAATAAATATAAATAAAGAAATTAAGAATAATATAATATATATATAAATATATTTTAAATGGATTAAAATTATGTATTTTTTTATATATAAATTTATATATAAGATATATTAAACGGTTTCATTTAGACTTTTTTTTAATATATTTATCAATAATATTTTTTTATTCTATTTAATCCTTTTTATATTTTAAAAAATTAATAAATATAAAAATATGAAAAAAATAATACTTCTTCTGTAAATCTTATATAAAGTTAAGGCTTTTAAAAACATTAGCAGGGTTTTAAATGTGAAATACAACATTTTTTAATACAAGTATTACAAAATAAATAACTAAGATAAGTATAATAGCCGCATTTATAACAGACATGTTTATCATATTTTTCCTATTTATTTTAAAAATGATAAATATTTAAATTATTTTTTCCATATCTATCATATATAGCTTTTAATTTTTAACTTTCATTTTTCAAAATATTTTCAAATTCATTTTTTAACTTAAATATATATTAAATATTTTTATTTTTTTTATTTTTTTTTTTAATGTACTTTTTTAATATATTATTCATCATAAAATGAAATATCTAAAGTATAAACAGCCTAAATTAATAACCATTCGATAGGAAATGATACACTCTTATAGAAATTCTTTTTTGGATGTTTTATACTTTTATAATAATTTGCCGCCTCCCAAAAATATTTAATCCATTCAAAAGTTACTAAATTTACAGCTTCTCCGCAATTAAAACCATGTGAAAAGCCTGCGTGGTAAGCTTTTGGGAATGTAAATATAAACTCACCGTTATTTTGTTCTGTTCTGTATACTGGAATTCCTTTTTCAACAGCTAATGCAGGAGATAACATTAAGTTTATATGGAATAAAGCATCAGGTTTTTTTTGAATATTTCAGGATAGGTTAGCTAATATAATTCTTCGAATTTTTCTTTGTATTAAGGAGGAATACAATACCTAATTTTTTATTAAATAAAATAAAAAAATTTAATAAAAAAAAAAATAATTTTAAAATAAAAATAAAATAAATAAATAATAAATATCAAAAATAATAATATATATAATAATAATAATAAATTAATAAATAAATAAATATAGATATATTTATAAAAATTTTTATAATTTTAACCAAGTTTTAGCTTCTCCAATATGCATAAAATTTAAAGACGGCATATATAAATCTTCTACATGCCAACAAAAACAAGCAAACATCATTCCTAAATAAACCCAAGGACTAGTAATTCCACTAATATTTTGATTTTATTTATTACAATTTTAGAGTAAAGAATTTTTAGAATCATTTATATTAATTAAATTAAACTATAAATCTTTGGAAAATGCAGTACCATATTATTTAGATGGTAAATCTGCAGCATATTCAACATTAATTAATTTTTTAAATAAATCAGGTTTTTCAACTATTTCCCAAAATTCATATTCATTTTTTCTATATAAATCATTTATTTTAGAATTAGTTTAATATTTATAGCTCTATTTAAATTATTGAGCTATATTAACAAATTCATTATATGAATATGCTTAGGAATTTTATATAAAAGGCTTTAAAAATTTAATAAAAGCAAAAAAATATAAATAAATATTAATACATATATATATATATATATATATATATATATAATATAATATATATATTTTTTAAATCATTTTTAATAATTAGTCATTTTTATATATTAAAATATAAAATACTTCAGATTTATTTAATTTTTATAGTATTTAAGTTCTTGTTGATAATTTCTTTTTTATTTAATTAAACTCATATTTAGGATTCCAACTTTTTGGAGGAATTATTTTTACAAGACCAATTTTATCATACCCTTTTTAATAAAGAGATTCGAAAAATAAATAAGGATTTTTTAATTCTTGTTCAGTAAGATATATACAAGGAATTTCTTTAAAATTTAAATATTCCTATGTAGATCTAAGTTTGTTTGAAATTCTAATTTTTTTCTCATGTAAATTTTATTTTTATAATGATTTTTTTCTGTTTTCTTTATCTATTTATGTTTATTTTTAGTTTTTTAGACAATAGATTTTGATAGAATTGAAGATTTTACCATTATTCAAAATATATTATTAGTTTTTTTATTTTTTAAAAAAATTATTTATTATTATTTTTTTATTTTATAATTTTTTAATAAAATAAATTTTAATTACATATTAAATTAAAAAATTAATAATTTTTATTAATAATGTTTTTATATTAATGTTTTTTATCATATTGGTATTATTATAATAAATAATCCAAGTATTTTATTTTAACTATTTTATTTTTATTTGATTTATTATTTTGTTTATTATTAATTTTAATAAACCAAAATTTATATATTTATATATTCATTTTAGTCAAATATACGAAATAAACAAAGCGAATGAGATTTTTTAAATAATTTATTTATTTATATAATTGATAAAAAAATAATTTTATTAAATTAAAAAATTATATTTTTTTTTTTAAAAAAAAAACTAAATATTATTATATATATAATAGAAAAAAAAAATTAAATAATACTATATAAAAATTATATTCGAATAATTTTTTAAAAATAACTAATAATATTTAAAAATTAAAAGAATTTTTAATAAAAATTATTTACTTTATATTTTTCTTTCTAAATAGTCTTCTTATTTAAAATTATTTTTTAATATTTTAGTAAAAAATATGAATAAATTAATAAATAAAATTAATTTTTTTTTTCAAAGAACAAAAAAATAAAAACAAAAAAATTAAACTAGAAAAAATAAATAAAAAAAATACAAATTTGTTAAAAATTAAAGTTAAATTTTATTTACAATATATTAATTATTATTATTTTATATTTTTAATTAATATAACAAAATTCTAAAAGCAAATACATATTTATTAATTATATTTATTTCAATATGTATGTATATATATATTTAATTTAGACACTAATTTATTAAATTTTTTAAATAATTATATATAATATCTTTATTTTTTCATTTCTAATTTACATTTCTAAATAAAATATAGCACCTAGTATCATTTATTATATTTCTATTCATATTTTCAATTAATCCATTTAATTTCATTACTAAACCCCCGAAAGATGCATATATACTTTAACAAAAATTTTATTCAATTTCAATTTTAAATATTTTTCCATACATTCCATACTAATACATATTTTTATATTCTGCTAAAAAAGATTTAGTTATAAGTACTTCATATTATTAACCTATTTACATTGGAAATAAATCGAAATTAATATCAATTTCTAATTAAAGTTTAGGTGATTACAATACTACACGATGAACTCTTATGTATTTTGCTTCTTTATTTATTTCTTTTAAATCAAAATTTCCTTACATTAAAATTGTTTCACTCATTTTTTAATTTTTAATTATATTTTTTCTAAAAAAAGTTAGAAATATTTATACACATAGTTTTTTATAAATATATATATATATATATATATAATAATAAATAAGAAAAAATAAATAAATATAAGAATATTTACATAAAAATACAGTATTATTTCAATTATTATTTATATAAAAAAAGTAATAATTAAGAATTTATTATTGAAAAAAAAAATATGATATGCTATGTTTGTTTTAAGCAAAACCAATAATTATTATGCTAAAAATGTTTCAAAACCAAACTTAATTAATTAAATGGTTAATAAAAAATAAACGAAAAATAATAAAATTTATATCAAATATAAATGGATTGCTTAAAATAATCAAGCAATTTAAAAATTTATTAATTAAATATGTAAATATATTCAAAGTAAAAAAAACTCGAAAACTTACAAAAATAAATAAATTAAAAACTTGAAAGTATCCAAACAAAAGAAAATTAAATAAAAGTAAACAAAATAATTAAATTATAATAAAACTTAAAAAAAAAAAGGTTTTTAAATTACTCTAATAATAAAAAGATAAAAAAAACGCACTTAATTAAGAATTATTAAAATTGCAAGAAGAAAATACCAATAAAGAACAAGAACTTTAAATTAAGAATAAAGACTTACAAAAAACTTAATAAATAAAAATATAATAATATATAAAACTATTCGAAATAAATTACACCTATCCAAAGTTCACAATATGTTAAGAAATGGAATTTTATAATTTTTAAAATGTATAGGAAAATTCTTATGAAACAAATATGGAAAAAATCATTCTTTTTAAAGGCTCAAAGAAACTTCTTATTTCTTTAGAACATTGCTTAGTGTGGAATTTTTCGCTTTAAAATTTAGCTAAATTAATCTATTTTTTATAAAAAATTTATAAAATAAAAATTCCTTTTAAACTTAAATTAGATAAATATAATAGACCCTATATATAAATAAATAATGAATAAAAAAAATTCTTTTAAGAAAACTCTAAAAGTATTCCAAATGGAAATATTTTTGATTAATATTTATATGATGGAAATATTATTTATTTATGGATTAATTTTTAAGTACTTTTAAAAAATTCCAATATAAAAAGCATACCATAAGTTGATGATTTTTTCAAAATTTATGAAAATTAACAACAACCACCGAGTAATCTAAAATAAGAAAAAATAAATTTCTTTAAGAGGTTTGTTTTTAGTGACAAAGTTAAAATTAAATATGAGTTTTAAGAAGATATGGATATTCTTTATGATGAATACGGATAATAATAAAAAATTATACCTTTTGTATCTAAAATATAATCTGGATTTTAAAAAGACGATTCATAAGAAGATGATTATGATTATATTTTTGATAAAAGTAGAATTGTTTATTGAATATATAAAATTTTGTTTTTAATATTAAAAAAAAGACATTTTATATATTTATATAAATATATATATATATATATTTTTATATTTAATATGTTTTCGTATTTAACTTTAATACATTATATATTGTTTTATTTTAAAAAAATTAAAATAGAGATTATAATAATAATCAATGCATATATAATAAATAATAAAAAATAATTGGATATAATTAATATTATGTATAAAAAAATAGTACACAAAATTAGATAAATGAGGAAAATAAATAGATCAAATATTTAAAATGCATTGAACAAAATTTAAAACATTACTATATTTTATAAAGTTAATTTTTTATAATTCTTATTAAAATAATCATGAATATTAATTCGAAAAATAATAAAATTATAAGATTAAGGATTTAACTATAGTATATGATGCTTCAATATAAATACTTATATAGATATTTTGGTTAAAATTAAATTTGTTTAGAAAATGAAGAACTTAATTAATTAAAAAATAAAAGTTTAGTAACTAATTATAATTTAAATAAATAAAATTAAATTATTAAAAATTTTATTATTTGTTTAATAATTATAAATAAATTAATTGGACTTTTAGTAAAATAAAATTTCTTATTAATTAATAAGTCAAATATAGAAATTAAAATTAATTACTAAAAAATAAAATTAATAACCCAAAAATGATTTTAATAACGTCAATTTTAAAAACTTAAATTTTATAAAAATAAATTTAAATGTTTAATAATGAATTATTGTTTATTTTTAATAGTTTTTTTATTTTTTTAAGAACATAAAATATATTATTTACTTTCAAGTGAATAAAGATATTAAAAATAAAATAAAATATATTAAATTATAAAATTAATAAAAAATTAAATTTAAATTATTATAAATAATTAAAAGTTATTATTAAATTTTTTACAATAAATTAATTTTAAATATAATAATAATTTTACTTTTTTTTCAAAAAAAAATAAAGTTTTAAAAATAAATACATTCATTTAAAAAAATATAAAATAATCATTTAAAAATTTTTAAAATAATCTAAAAATAAACTAAGTTTTTTAAATTTCTTTTTCAAAAAATCAATATTTAAAATAATATTAAAATGACTAAAAAATTATCATTTTTTATAGTAAATAAATATTAAAATCATTATTTTATAATTTTTTTTATATTTAATTAATTTCTTAAGTTTATTAAATCTAATTTTAAAAATATATTTTTAATTTGTTTTTTCATTTTATTCTAAACTTAATTATTTTTTAAAATTATTATATTGTCTTTTAAAATTATTTATTTTAATTTATAATAAATTATATTAAAATTTATTTCTCTTTCGATTATTAATACTTTTAATTCTGTATCATATTTATAAATATTATATATATTTAACATTTCCCTTTATTTATTTTTAAGCTAGATTCTTATCATTGCATATAATGTTGATTTTATAAAGTATAGTATTAAATTACATTTTATTTTCGAAGATTAAATTATTATTTATAATTTTGTTTTATAAAAATACTTAAATTATTTATTTTAATTAAATATTAAAA